GATTTTGACCCGCGAGATGTCCACAAAACGAACCATTTTTAGAGATAAAGGAGATAACTACGTGTGTCAGCAGAAGGAATTGAATGGAGACGTCGATGTAAGGTTATCGGACGTTGTTGGAAGAGGGCGAGGACCCATTGTTGAGGTCTTTCGTTCTAATCTGGCTGTGGAAAGTGATCAACCACCGGGATCCATCGATCCACCTTCGCTGTGAATGGTTCGCCGAAAAGCACGGCGCCGAACGGTGAGTCAAATAAATCAAAGATCGGAAAGAGAACAATTATTGTATTGATTTATTTAAGTAGAGAATAGCTAGAGTAGATGTATCCAATCTATTAATGTAGACAATAAGTAGAGTAGATGCGAAACAACAAATAAAACACAGAGCATACCAACAGTTAAGTGGATTAAATTGTTCTGCATACTTTTACCATGTAAAACAGATGTTATTAACAAAAAGACACTTCTTGATGGAGATAGTGCGGAGAAAGCCCTGCAAAAAAGGGAAGGCTATAAGTATAGAAATATAGTAKGATTATAACAAATTCGAGTTTCGACGAGAACCATGCATCAAAAGAAGCACAACGAGCAAGGCTAAAATACAATTATGACTTAAAATGCAATAATGAGCTAAGATAAATCACAAAATTCCTTGGGATTATCAATGAAAAACGTCGAAAGATTATAATGAGGCAAGAATAAGGTAGATTCTCCAACAAATCACCCAAGAACCACACACACATTGGCCTTAAAGGTCAACTACAGTCTCGAGCACATTAATGTATAAGAATGTAATGATCATGTTGGAATCCATAAACTGTAAAAAATGAAATACAGAAAAAAAAAAATATATATATATATATATATGTATATTTTTTATTGGCATTAAAATATATTATTATTTGGTAATTTTTGAGTGTAAGAGCTTATTGGTGAGTAGCATGGTGTGCAGTTTGGTGGTGTTGCTGCATGTATGCTTTGGTGAGTTGGGGATATGCACGTTGTGGTATTTGTGTAGGATGTGGCGTACTATTTTGTCTGTTCGTGCATGTTTGTTGTATTTGCTGCGGTAGTAGATTGTAGATTTCTTAGTGGATTGGTTTGTTCTCGTGAGTCGTTGTCTTTTGTGATAGTGGTAAGGTAGCCAGGGTTAAGAGGTTTTAGTGATTAGTTTGTTGGGGTAGTCAAGAGCGGTCAGTCGTAGAGAAAAGAGTTTGTGTATAAAGTTGTAATCGTCTTTTGTTTTTGATAGTCTGCTGTATCCTACAGCTTCAGTCTTGATGATGCCTGTGAAAATGTGTAGTGGGTGATTTGATGAGAAATTGGAGTACATGTATTTGTGATGAGGTTTTTGGTAAATTTGGTGGTGAATTTTGTGATATAGTATGGTGTGGTAATTGAGGGAAACTGTGAGGTTCCGCATAAAACCCAACAGGGTTGTTTAATTTTAAGTTTGATTTTAACTGTCTTCTGCCGTTTTATGGGACTTCGTCGCCGACATTGTCCAAAAGCGAGGAACTTTTTTGTTGCGCGGGATCAATATGAGCAATCCTGAGCGGGCAAAATGGACCCACCTTGCCCGCTGAGGTAGCCAATCAGAACACAACATTCGCTTTATCTTGCCCCCGCGCGCTGCTAGCTATGTAATAAAGTGACTTGTGGAGCAAGATATCTACCGACCAATATATTTTATTTAAATCATGATCACAAGCCTTGACTTGTTGCTTTTTTCAGTCGAATTGAACCATTCTGGCTACAGGATTCAACATATGATGGTCAGTTGATGGTCTAGTGAACTATTAATTTTTTTCCTTCAGCCCTTTGAGACGGGCCCATTTCCGAAATCGAAAAATTGGGAAACATATTTTCCACGGTTAATCTCAACTTTTTATAATTATTTATTTTTTACTTCATATCGTCTTACGTCATTAGGGAAAATACGTAAGCTCAACAGTTTCCACTTATAGTCTTATAGTACATAACGTGATTGCCGAGGTGGAGTAAAGTCTTAGAGGGCTAGAAATATCCAAGATTCAAAATTGAATAAATGAACTTTGCAATTTGGTTTATGACTTGTTAACTCCATCACTGATCACACAAGTACAGTGTTATCACATTTTTCCAAAATCTATTGTACTTAAGAGTCTAAGCCAGTTATTTAAGGAGAGGTATTGGTCAGCGTACTCATTGTTTTGCCAGCTGTCACTTGATGCAAATTGTTCATTAGTGCATAACGTTTGTAGCCAATGCAAGTTTGGAACTTAGCTATAAGACTGAGCTATAAAAGATCAATTTCATCTCTCTGAAAAGAGTATCAAATTATTATTCTTGGTAAATGCATGACAAACCTCGAAGAAACTCGTCGAACTTCATACATTTCGGACAGTTATTACATTTAGGCCTTTCACAGCTTTTAGCAAACTAACTGAAAGAAAAACCAAATTTTTGCGCTAAATAAGAGAGCTAGAAATTGGTAGCTTAGGGAAATAAAATCGACTGAAGACCAGCACTAATGTCATTAAATGGCATGTTTAATGCAGAATGGAGCTGAAAAAAAAAAGAAAAAAACGAAAGAAAAGAAAACAGATAAAAATCATTATCATCGACAATTTCTGACAATATTTCTTTTATCTGAAGAGCTGATAAGTGGAGTTACTGGTCTGCCGCCGGAAATAGGACGCTCGTGATGTTTCAAATAAGAGAATGCGACAAAGTGCAAATATGAAGTTCGACGAGTTTCTGCGAGGTTTGTCATGCATTTACCAAGAATAATAATTTGATACTCTTTTCAGAGAGATGAAATTGATCTTTTATAGCTCAATCTTATAGCTCAGTTCCAAACAGTAAAGGTCGGAGATAGGACAGGGTAATCTTATGCTGTTTGCCTAAAGCAAATTTTCCAGAATTCTCTCGCATTCATGCTCCTGTGACTTCTGATAACCTCTACTCCATCTGGACACCTATTCAGGCAAGCAAAATATCTCTCTTGCTTGTCTATTTCCTTGTTAGTTTTTAATTGAATTTACGTAAGTCTTACGAATTTATGCGCTTTTTGGACTTAGGCCGACGGAAATGTCTTCACAATTCGTATTCCTACTCAAAAACCAATTGAATTATAATATTTCATTGACCCAAGATTGATTATTTACGTCCCTTAGCTTGTAACCAAATTTCTGTCTTTATGAGCCGATTACTCTGAAACCTAAGTTATCATATCATTTGTTTGATTTAGCCGACGTACTTTCCATTCATCCATGGACCGACTTTCATCAGAAGGTTTTGAGAAAACAAAAGGTAAAACTGCAATAATAATCACCAAGATTCCCATACGTATTCATCCGTGTCCTCTCAAGCTCAATAGAATATGTTTTTGTTGAAACTGAGCGCTTTGAAAACTTGTTTTGTCATTTCTGCAACACGTAGACTACTTATTTAGGGTCAGGAATTACAGGAAGCACTTGTTGAAACGTGACAGCTCACAGCACGTAGGTGATAAAAGTAAGCACTTTAATGGAGGGCAGAGGGGGGCTAACAAAGATCAACTCACTTTGGAAAATGAAAATAATGAACCAATAAATCTGTAATAACTGATGACGACAGGAACAACTATCAATCTACGACGTTTCGCCTCTCAACCTCTAACGGGAAGGATCAAGTTTTGGAGTTCATAATATACCAGGACCTAACAATTTGTAAATTGTAAATGTTATATGTTATGCTGTTCTTTTAGATATTTTGGCAATTGCCGTTACCGGGAACACGGAAAAATTGTTTGTCTGCTTTGAAGTTCTCCCCATGACATAATGCCTCCCGCTAGTAAGCAACTCAGTAACAAGAATACTCTCTATAGCTTCGAATTTCTCGCGCGTAACTTTTCACTAGTACTGCTAGTTAACCGAAGTACCCGTGGACATATTGTAGCTAGTTATCGATTATTTACTACCTGGTTCGGTTGAAATACTCTTCGTTACTTTGAAAAGGGTTTGTCAATTGTTTACGACGGTACTTTTCCCTCACGAGTTGACTTTTTGGTAGTGAGATCGACTCAGCACATGAGAATGCTATACTTAATTTGTGAACTAACTGGAGGAACAGAAAGCTGATTTACTCAAAGTCCCAGACCCCTGGCCATAGACTTTTTTAACTCGCACTTCCCATTCACCACTAGCGAATGTTTCTGTCTGTATAAAATTGTGCTTTTATCAACCATGTCAAGGTCAAATACAGAGACAGGCAATTTCTGCTCACGAAAACAAAACTCATTAGAGCAAGCAAGATGGAATCATGAGTTATTTTTAATCGCTTTGCTTCTTGTAATGGATTTCTTTCTGTAAACGTTCTGGATTTATATTTTGACATGGTAATGAGTCACGATAAGTGTCAAACAAAGGAATATAATAACTGATTGAGTACTTCCCCAATACATTGTATTCTGCATGCTAGAATAACAAGACCAAGGTTTTGTTGCTGTCTCTGTTTTTTCAGGGATTTTGCCTCTGTTCCATCTTCCTCATTATTATGGTGATGCAATTTCATGTGTTCCATTTCAACTTAAAACAAAGCACTCACAAATGTTTATGTTGGATACAATGGTAGGTTAATTAATTGCAACAAGCAGAGGAAATGTTATGCCATCGGTAAACATAATTTATGTTAAGATTATGTGAGTTAGCGAGTAATTTTTACAAAAACCCGCTTAGGCGTATAACTGTCACTTTGTTACGCGGAACTTGCGTAACTTTTTGCAACCTAACCGGTTTCGTCCCCACAAGGGACAAAGCGTTGGCAAAAGTAGGCTGATACGTGGTCAGCCGAGAAAATAAAAACATAACTAGCTCAATAACTTACTGATTTTTGCCGGGATAGAATTACCGAATTGATCGTCGCTTGGCGCACACTTGTACGCATACACAGGTATAGATTGATCAATAGCAAGCAAAGATGCATTCACGATACACCTTTACACGCACACATGAAAAACCCATCCTCAGTAGGGTCCGCACATCGAAGAGAAGTCTAGGATTTACTGAGTTAGCGCTCTCTTGTTTCCTTGCAGGTATAAAATTTCCAAGCTTATAACCAAGTGAATCCTTGCAACAATCATGCAAGAAGAATGAAACGTTATGTGCTTGTTTCAAAAGAGAAGAAGGACTTTGCTAACCGTTTGGCTTGTGAGTAATCATTCAAAATACAGTTATTGAAACAAATGTCTCGATCAACAATAACGCTTTGGAAATATATCCGGGTTGATAATTAAAAGAATCTTGAGAGGGTTATCAGAGAAGCATTGAGTCGTTTAATTAACCTCGAACGATTCTGATTTAACAAACAAATGACAAAATAACATCCCCCGTTGCTGACGAATTTAGCAGAAAGCAGTTTCCTTGAAGTTGAAGGGGATGAATCCTTTGCAAATCCTAAAAAGTCATTAGTGTCATCCGCTTTAGGTTAAGGAAGAAAGCATCATCGCGCACCCAGAAACAAAACTTCAGGCACGTATGAACAAACAGAGACGCTTGACTTCAAAAGTATTTGTCGGTTCAAATGATTTTTTTAGGCCAAATAGAACCCGATATTAATTTTTTGGAAAGGGATCGCTAACACTACTCAACAAGTACGCTCCTCTGTCGCTTTGTCTCGAGTATCAAACTTTGATAGATAGTGTATTTACCACCTCCAGCAAGCAAAAGTAGGTCCTTGATTAGTGAAGTACTTTTGGACTGTTAGATCAGCAGCAGTAAACAAGTGTATTATTAGTACAAATGAACTCACGCGTTCGATGACCTTGCGCCATGCATACAACAGCTTTCAAAGAATGAAAGTGTGCTGATTCTAATCTGGCTCTAAATTTGTGACCTCTAGAGCTTTTCGACATCTGAGTTATTCAGTTTTTTTTTTTTTTAACTAAAGTCTTCGACGCTTTCAAATCAGAGAATTCGTGGACCAAAGATTCCGAAAACTCTCGACACCTTTCATTATGAGCCAACCTCGAATAGCGTGTGCGTCTCTAAGTGAGAGTGGCATATATGTATCAGTGCGGGGCGAATTTCGCGGATATCTATTTACTGGGAGTGCGTGACAGAAGTATGCGAAGCGGAACGGAATTGGCGCGTTGTCGTGTTGCTGTTTCTATTTTCTTCAATAAATGACAAAAATTTCATTGTCGTCTAACTGATTTCTTCATTCGATTTATCTAGTAAACTTGGATCAATATTCGCCAGCCATTCCGACTCATCGTCGTCAGAAAAATGATTTAAACTGTCCGCCATTTTTTTCTTGTGACTTCAATCCAATTCGTCGCTTGCGCAATGCGAGAAAACCTGTGTAACCGATTCTCTGGAGTACAAATACCGCGAGATATTTGTACTTATCTTGGGCGTCATTTGTACTTTGCGGAGTGTCGTTTAATGATAAAAGATATTATTCTTTCCCCGTCTCTCAATATTCTGCTTTTATCGAACACCGAAACGATGAGCACAATTGCGAGTTTGTTGAGTTGTACACTTCCGCGTTTCCGCTGAGACCATAATGTAGATTTTACGACCAAAGATAAAAGAAATGGCTTACATTTTTTAAACTCGAGCGTTCGTAAGGAAGTTTGAGTAATCAATAAAGGAATCTTGAGAACCAAAAATTCAGGCATGTACGAAAAAAAAAATGATATTGATAATAGTAATTGAATAGTTAGCAAGCTGGTATTACTTCCTTGTTTTCACTGACTTGCCTCTTCCTTAGGGCTCATGTGCAGAAGAAAGTATCAGTCGCCAAATTCCTTAACATCCGCTTTCTGATCAGAAACATCCACTCCTAAGATGTTTTGTCAGCATAAAAGTAGACGTTCTGCTCATCTGAAAAATTATAATAATAATAATAATAATAATAATAACAATAATAATAATAAAGGTCTTTATTAAGAATTATTGCGCAAACAGACGTGCAACAATTAATATGAATAGAATGAATAAGGAAAAAGAAAAGTTATTAATTACTATTGAAAAGACATATATTAATAAAAACTGATTTAAAACGGCTGTTTTAATATCTGTTGCCTTTATCAATGTTTCCAAAGTTCCAAATTGGACATCTGCTGCTTTGGCAAAACTGAAGATTCTTACTTTTTTTTTCAATTCTACATCCTTGTTCATGTTTCAGCATCATCATGAAGGTATGTAAATTGATTAACTTTGACATAAAATAACATCCCTTTCTGCTGAATAAGGATTCTATAGATAGTTTTCCTCAACTTCGATCAGTCAGCGACATAGGAACTGATAAGCTGGAGGATTAAGTTGCATTTAAAGAGTTTAAAAGAGCCTGTATATACTGACCTCTTCATTCAGCTGCTTACTCTCTGATGACCTTGTTTATTCTTTCCAAACAACTTAGCAGATATCAAGGATTCAAAATGGTGAGGTCTATGCAGCTTTGATATTTTATTGATGTCTTAAAGAGTTTTTAAGAGTCTCTTTTTTTCTCCTCTATGACAGGGAAATTACTTCGCCATCAGCTTATTGCTGCTCTTTGCCGTCTGTGACTCAGTCATCTCAACCCAGGTATGACTTGTAAACTTCTTTTAGTTAACATGAGAGGTCAAGATCTTATTTTACAAGGCGGAAGAAATGGAAGAGAAATGTGTTTAGGACAAGAAATGTACCAGACGTATATTTCTTTCGGCTTTAAGCCATTCTTACTGACTGTTGTCATTCGTAACCATCTTTTCAATAGAGACCTAATTTTGGCCGCAAAAGGTCCTACTTTTATACCAAGAAAGTTTATACTTACTTGGATTCAAAATTTTTTTCAGGCAGAACATTTTACCATGGGTATAAATGAAAAGGGAACTAACTTTGATGAAGACATCGAAATTGACGAAGAAAAGGACGCGGTCATATTTCGCGTTCCTGCTCATAATAATGTTGTCAGTGCAAGCTTCTTGATTGACTTCAAGCTGGTAAGTTGAAGGGGAAACGAAAAAAAGCACATATACCTGATAATTATAAAGTTACATTACCTTTCTAAATGCAAGAATTCTTAGTGTTATCAAAGCGGAGTTTAGGGAAAAAAAGAGAAGGAAGCCAACTCAGAGTAGAACGATCTTTAAAGCCGGCTAAGATGTGAATTGCTCCAAAAAAATTAGAGGTCGAAAGTTGATTTAACATGTTAAAAATCTTCTAAAATGTTATATAACACAAAAGCATTTTTTCGCTGTTTGAGGGGGCTGTTACTACTAACTAAATGTTCAAATGGCGACTAAGTGAGGTTTGATGGCGTTCAACAGTGATTGTCACGAGCAGTCACGTGTATTTGTCATGCGATAGTTTTGCGGTTTGTGCAAAATATCTTTGATTTCACTTGGACGGAAAATCCTTTCCACTGGCGTTACCATTTTTACACTTAAATTAAACCAGAAATATTTAATGTTTTATAACATTTCTCCAAGAAGGAAGAAACCAACGAAATTCCCGGCCATCGAAAACGGAGACGGGAAGATTTGTAACTAGAAAGTCCTCGGAGCGAACGGTGTAAACGTACTATATCCATCGCACGACGAGATGTTCATTGAGATCGACCACATGTCGATCTATTGTCAAATGGGATATTATTTTAGTCTTATTCTTATTAATTTTGTATGAATATACTTAATAAAGTAATGGATCGCCTAGTTGTTGTTTAGTAAAAGTTGATATTGATATCCACTTGTATGAAACAACCCTTCGCCTCTCTCTTGTTGAGCAAATTGATATAGGCAGTTCTGTCTCCAAAACTATTGGCTTCACCTCTCTCACCATTTTCGTTCTTTTTTTTTTTTTCTTTTTTTTTTTACGACTTTAACCCCTCAAATTTAACTCTCTTTTCCTGTTTGATTCAAGGGCTTGACAATTACACGCATCCCTACAAGGAAAGAGTGTCACGTTTCGAAAATGGATCCTGGCTTTTCAAGCCTTGGGAAGGTCCGAAAAGATCTTGTTCAGGTATGTCTTACTTGCGAACTCGAGCTGCGCATCACGCCATGGTCGCGCGTGCTTGCGCTTGGGTGGAAAGACTCGTCTCCCGCAATGATCACGGAAGAGACCAGCCGTGGTGAAAGGGATGTTAATTCCCATAATTAGCGAGTCAAATGGATTAAGCCGCCTTTAGTTAAAATGCATCTAAACCCAAAAATTTTTTTGCTTAACGAAATAAACGTATTTTTAGGAGTACTTCTGGCAAAAATTAATTTATTTGCTCAAATCTTTAATTAACTGAGCCCAGTCAAAATACAGAAAATCGGCCGCCATCTTGGCTCACGACCGAGTTTTAAGAGGAACAGTTTTAGCGGGTGATGTGACGTCAAATCGAGAACACGAAAGTCTGCATTTCACACATTTTCACTTGTTTAGGAAGGTTGTCGTCGATATTGTCCGAAATATGCCGACTCGATATCCTCTTGCAAATTTCGCACGTTGTTACATCCTCCTACAACACACTTATACGGCATATTTTCGGACAATATCGACTACAACCTTCCCAAACAAGTGAAAATAAGTGAAATGCTGACTTTTGTGTTCTCGATTTGACGTCACATTACCCGCTAGAACCATTCCTCTTTAAATTCGGTCGTGAGCCAAGATGGCGGCCGATTTTCCGTATTTTGACTGAGCATAGAAAATTGAAGATTTAAGCAAATAAAAAAATTTTTGCACAGAAATACTCCAAAAAAGTACGCTTATCTCGTTAACCGAAAAAAAGTTTTGGGGTTTAGGTGCACTTTAAAACCGGAAAAGAAAATTTAATGGACATTTTGTCCCCCTATAAGACAAGAGGAAAATGAGACAAATAATTTACCCATTCATTCCCGAGTGTTTCGCGTGCCTATGGAGAAACGGTAAAAGAAGATACAATATGCTGTAAATTTTTCTGAAAACGTCTTTTCCCAAAAAACATGCTCTGATCAATGAAACCATTAAAAGAACTTATTTCCAAAGAAAAAATCGAGAGATGCATATCAAATATTACAAAAATCGCTGAATTTGTCACGCATATGTCCAAACACGCCCGTGGACTTTTTCACCTGGAAACTGTCAATGAGAAGCAAAAGAAAAATGAGCAAGAAATATTTTAAGACAAACTACTTTATTCAAAACATTTGTTGATGGACTGTCACAAACAAAATACGTAAGAACTTCCTACGTCTACGAAACCCGCGCAGTAGATCACTAGATTATTCTCCATGCCTCGATCGTTATCTAGTAATACTTGACTTCCCGGCCAGAAAATTGCTTGGCGTTAAGTTAAAAATTTTAAATGTTGTACGTATTCACAAAAAATCTTTGATCAAACATCACTTTACGTACGGACATATTGTCGCTGGGCCTCACTTGAAGTAATAAACGTTTGATTTCACTCTATAGCCATAATTCACATCGCTTCGGAGAATTGGAATGTCGTTGACTCGAAAGCTTATTCCGTCGCTCTCAAGGCTTAAACATCCATTATTTTCCCAACAGAGTATTCGATAGCATATCCAGTTTTCATTTTTAACTCCATAAGGTCTAAAGCAGTCGGAAAGGAACGGAACGTCCGACACTGTCCTTGATCATTTCTTGAGATCGCGTTAGTAATGCCTAGCATAGGGAAGTAGGAGGAAAGTTTCTCTCACGCAAGACAAAAGCGCTACGCGGGTGTCGATGTGTTTACATCAAGGGGAGGTGTTAGGAGAGCTTGAACAAAGTGTGATGACAAATTTAAAAATAGTTGAATAACTTTAAAAACGCATAATTCCATTTTCGATTTACTTCGTAAAATCTTTTTCGATGGGATGTGAATGCATTTAAAATAACTGAAGCATGCATTGACTAATTTTAGACATCGCTAATCCTGTTTGAAATCTCATTCACAAGCATAATCCAAAGGCAACTGTATCATCATCGGCAAAAAACAAAACAAAACATTTATATAGGTTTACAAAATCTTTTGATCGAAAATTGTGCGAATAATGAAGTTTTGAAAATACGATCATGACGCTTTTAAACTTTCAATGATAACTATGATAATTATAGTCATTATATTAATAGTAACGAAGATGACAAGGACAACAAAAGTATCTAAAAAAAATTCTTTTTATAATTTCCAATACATATCTTACAGGCGTCTTTGCAGCCGGATCCACTTCCCGTAATCACAAAGAGACATCTTGTGAAGGTGACAGGTGCCGCAGACAGACAACTGCTCACAAAAGAGATCCTGGACTTTTGCGGAGTGTTTCCAATTTATAACATTAAACAATTTGAAATCAATGAGAATGAAACAGATGGTTAGTGAATACAATTCACTTTCGTCACTTAGTTGAACGAACTCATTTTCAGGCTGCAACACCTGTAAACACATTTGAAAAGAAAAAAATGACAAAAGAATAACAGGAAACAGAGAAGAAAAAAGAACAAAGAAGAGACATAATACCAAGAGGACAAAGTTCTTCTTTCGAAATTGAGTTTTCCTCGTTCATTGGTTAAAAACCATGTTAGTAAGAGGGAAATGAGTGGGAAATACTAAAAAACCCGTAACGTATGGGGTAACTGTGCGTAAAATATTGATCAATTGATAAAATGTATAGTTCGTAATCCATTTATGAAGTAAGACTTTTTATCATGGCTTACATTTACGTTCTTTTCGCAGAATGGTTTCTTTATTATCTAAATACTAACAGGGTGATTTTACTCCACAGGGTCTTTTATATCGCATCGCGTCACAAGGCAAGTCATATCAGATGCTGACTTCGTACCTTGCAAGAAGGATTTTGTTTTAAAATATGTCGAAAATTGCATGAAGGAAAAATGGGATCTGAATTGTAAGATGCAATCGGATGCTTGCTTCTACAGGGTCCGCTGTAAAAATTTAATGCCCCGAGTGGATGATTGGAAGTGTGAGAAGGAACATCTTTCAAACACTTATCCAATCTGCTGTGATTTGATTTGTCCTTTACCAACACCTTGAAATGAAACGGAAGGCCAAAACGTTGTTCCATTCTATAAATGTTTGATTTGTTAGTATGTCCCTCTCTTTCATTGAAAAATTGCGACAGACTGATTGCTGATTTTAGTACAATTTGATCAACCGTCCTAAATGTATCTTTAATTACATGCCCATTTATCACTATTGTTAGTCGATCATATTGGTTTTTTTGTTCAACGGTTATGAAATCTGACTGTCACATACTTTAGTTGATGAGTTATATCGAGGCAAGTTTTCTGGAGACGAGTATGATTATCGAACGTCATTGTAGTTAGCTTGTGTGAGTGAAATAATCTCCATTTCAGAAGAATTCAAATAAAGATTTTAATGGTGTTGTCTTTTCGTGGTTCCTTGCTTGACCTCAACACTTGAGTTGATCCTTTTTCTTTGAATACTAAATTTATTATCTTTGGAATTTTTCCCCATATATCCACCCGTAGATCAGTCACAACGTAAGAAATTAAACTTCTTAAAATCCATGGTGCTAGTATACAATATTGCAGTGATATTTTGTGAGCGATCGCTTAGAATGTCTTCCTTTTAAATATTCAACTGCCGCGTTGTTATTTTAAAGCCAAGGAAAATGAGGGAAAGAGCGAAACTTTCATCGAGGGGTGGACGATACTCCGATGTCACGCTCCTCCACCTTAGATTATGTGGCGCACCAAAATGAGTTTGTACGGGTTGCGTGAGCACAATTTTTTTGCGGGGGATGACTTTCCTAAGGAAGACCTCAGATAAGAATGGCCTGAATCAGGTTGAGTCCGCATTTCTCCCAGTTTCACGCGGTTTCTCCCCTAAAGATATCCTTGAAGTACATCAAGAGGGCTGATAGGGAGAGTAAGGTCTAGAAAAAGATTATTTATATCAAAATTTCCTTGTATGCATTGTCGTAATTGGTTATTATATGCGCTAAAAACGTTTTAGTTGCGAACAATTACGTTCCAAAACTCCGCATTTTCAAATTGCATTTGCCAACGTTGTTATGACGAAACTATGACGTAGCAATAATGAAGCATGCTAATCTATATCCCTTCTAAGGTGGATGTAAACAAGGAAAACAGCAGCAAGGAGAGCGCTACTATGTAAATCCTCTACTTGGATTTTAATCCAGCCGAGAGGGTGTCATACAACCATTTACGTTTCAAACGAAACATGGCTCGTCTTCTGTGGAAGGATATACCTCTATTGAGGAGAAAGAGAGAGAAAGACTTGTCTTTCCCAAATCTGTTATGAGTCCACTAGGTAAATTTTCTTTACCCCACCAGTCGCATACTCCTGCGGAACAAAACTGAATGACATTTAATACGATGCCGGCAAATAATCAATAAAGACACGTTTGCTACAAATACAAATTATCCCTCGACGTGGAGGCACCCATATTTCCCTATATCATATTGATTGGTCACGATAAAAAGAATATGAAAATATTTTATGTCTTCCAAGCAACTACTTGACGTAATTACGCAGTACTTATGCTTTGAATTAAGCTTCATTCATATTGAGGTAATTTCTTACGTAAACACTGTATGACAGGGATGACTTTCAGGTGGGCGTCCTAAATTACAAAGCTCTGCTTCTTACAAGTCTCGGCATTTCAAACACTCTAGGTTAAAAAGTGTTTTGTTGAGGTTAATTCTAAGCAGTAAAGATAAATAAATTAAAACACCAATGCAAATTAAAGGTAAATGCTGAAACTAACAAAATTTAATTCGTAACAATTAACTTCTGCCTTTTGTCTGCGTTAATTTTGGAAACTAAATGTTTCTAATCAATTTTGTCGGTGTTTACGCATACAGAGAATGATCTTCAAGTCTATCATAAATTGTTAAAGATACTCAAACGATTCATTCAGCCTAAGTGGAATTTGATTTGTTTGTTACGAATTACTTTAGTTACGGATGTGGTTACGTTGTTGTCTATTCTCGATTGGTTTGTAATCAGATATTTTAGCGTCCCCACGCGCGTATAAAAGCCTCGTTTAGCGTCCCTTTAGCTAGTGTATGATTGTATTTGGCCTTGTCCATTCTATCTGTTCGACTCGCCGTTTTTGGTTCTTAACCTTTGGCACAAGCGGGACCGATATGTGAGTAATTTTGCTAGTTTCCTCCTTCGATTAGTTTTCTTGTTTCGGTGGAAGCACGCTAACGTACAGAGTCATACAATAGTACAATTTATCGTTTTCAATCTAAAGAGAGCGAATCAAAGAACGAGACGCTAAGTTAGGAACGCCCACTTTGTTAATCTTACAATCGATTTAAATCTCGAGTTATTTTGATGTAATAATTTGGATATATCAACAAAGTTGAAATGGTAAATTAGCCACCGTAATGATTACAAAAGCTGACGTTTCGAGCGTTAGCCCTTCGTCGGAGCGTTATTGGTACTTGAAGCACACGACCTGTAAGGTAGTCCCGTTGTATTAACACGCTTTAGCGACACCCTTCGACTTCGATCTCGTTTGTCGCAAGCGTCACATAAATATTTTATAAGATGGCGGGTGGTCACGTTTATGTACGGCTCCTGATTTGTATGGTGTTCTCTACGTTTGTACTGGGTTCCAGAAGCATTGACAAAAATCAAGGTCACTCCAAAGCTAATGTTGATACAGTGCTGTTGCCTTCTTGGGCCATTAAACGTCAGTCTT